CTACTAGGGGCTCCTGGCCTTACTACTAGGAGCAAGGACGCTACTAGTAACAAAGGGCATCGCACTGGTCGTTCCTTGCAGGATGAGGAGACAATCCGTTCGATGGCTGTGGCCCCAGGGTTCTGGAATGACCGTGTGCGGAGTTTTTTTTTTGTGGCTCAAGCAGATGGACGCAAAGGTTTTTGATCACTTCGTAGGCCTCCAACATGCGAAAGGGACTGGAGATCGATCGTTGGGAACATGCCTTGCATGAGCGCGACGACACTCAAATTCAATTCTGCTCCAATTTCCAGCTTGTGCTTTTGGAAATGTATTTTGATGTATATATATATTTATATTTAGTCTCTATTTGCGATTGAAGAAGGACTGCACTCTAGAGGTAGGACTGTTCTCTGGCAAATGACTCACTTCCAGAAACAGTTGCGCTTTGTTAATTGCTCCACCGAGGCTGCTCAAGCTCGTTCGCCTCCCAGCTCGATTGCAAGACTGTTGGCACTGGCTTTTGACCGAAAATTACAAACGCCCCAAGACCACCAACAGGCCCAAGAAAAAGTATAACTGCAGCGGTGCGGAAATGCCGAGAGCACCTTCATCAACATGAACGGCCTCCAAAGATCTCCATCTGGAAGTTGAACAAAGATCATCAGTTTGTTTGGGTATATGAAATTAAAGAATGCCACTAATCTGTGCGGGTACTGTGGCCGCTTCGTCAGACTGTTTTTTTTCACTATACGGATGGTCCAGGGCGAGGCACCCACAAAGAAACGCGCAAAGAAGCAGCGACACAAAACACCCTCACAAACAGATTACTGCAAGAAATGAAACATATCATATCTATTTTGCATATCGCGTTTGCTGTGTTTGTTCAGAAAACATGTATCACGGAAGTGGAACGCAAATTGTGGAAGCACTGCGCTAGAGTTATATAGACAGAGTCAAAGCAAGTCAGGGGAAGGCAATGCTACACCAGTTTTGACCACAGCTCGTACATGTTTGTTGCGCATGCAAATGCACATGTTTTTCTTTTTTAAATACAGCAGGTCGCATCCAAGTGCCACCTGAAAAAGAGATTGCACAAGCTGGCAATCTGGGGTCGAGGTCTCAGGAGGGAGCTGCACATGTTGTTAAGTAGGCGCCAACTTAATTAAGTAAGGCTAAACAAGTATATAAGCTACTGCCTACTGGACACAGGAAAGTCGTCGTCCTACTGATGAGGTTCCTAGACTTTTAGGGAAAACCGTCACTTGGTCTCGAATCCAAGCTTTTGACGTGCCCCTTTCGGTGTCATTGTTTTCTGATGTTTTGAGACCTGGCCCAGGCATGAGTTCTTCATCATCAGCCAGGGCTCCTTCGACTTGTTCTCCAATGTCAGGATCAACTTGGAAAGTGATAGGGTCCAACAACTTCTCTCGTGATACTTCTTATCCCACCAATTTCCACCATGTATATATATAGACATGTAGAATATAGTTATAGTGATCTGCATACATTGTTGGGGTTAGGCTGCTAGGAGTGGGGATGAATAAGCTAAGTAGTAAGAGCAGCTAGTAGCAACAATAATGCATTGGAAACCTCGTTGGACGAAACGGTTCCTTGATGGACATTTGTGAAGTGAAGGAGAAAACGGGTTCAAACATGAGGCAGCTTGACCTGTTGTGAGATTTTCAGACAGGAGAGGGAAAGCTGGAGTTCGCTCTGCAGAGGCGCAGAACCGGAAGAAAGGAAGGACGAGATAAGGGTTCAACTTCTGGACCATGACATGGTTCATGGATGTTCATGGTTCCCTGTTCCTGTCAGGATCACATGGTATTGGGATGTATTAGGGCCGCTAAGGTTTGTGAACCCACCTGGATTTGTTTGCCTGGCCTTAACACAGGACACAGGTCTTTTTTTTTTTCGATCATGCAGATGCACTTGTTTACGAGATCTTCCAACGACAACTCAGGAACGTATTCGTGGTCCAAACTGGTACCACATGCTCCACATTTGAGTGACATTTTGCAGGCTGTGTTTACCAGCAGCTCCATGACAGAGCGACTCGTTCGAAAGCAGCAGTGATGCCAGCATGTTTTTCATGCATGTCATACCACGCATTGACAGCCTATGTGCTGGCCTGTGACTTTCTCATGCATATGCATATACTGTATATATATATTTCAAAAACACATACACACAGTAGTGTTTGCTGCCTTGGTTGGGCAATCTTGGTAGGCTCATTCGGCCAAGCTGTGTTTTGTTGAAAGCAACCTCCATGTGTTTTTTCTTTTTCTGCCAGGTTCCTCCTTGACATGCTCAAGGACTGGACTGAATCAGCTTCCTTTGCAAGCAGTCAGTGCCAGTCTTGATTCAGTCCCTTTTTCTTGCAGGAGAGGAAGAAAGATGGGCCAGTGCAAACCGTGCGCAATTCCATGCTTCCAGCTACAAACCAAAAAAGGTTGGCACCTCAAGTCCAAGCAACCTTTGACCAGCAAACCATACTTGCAGCTTTGGGTTGAGTTGCTAAGAACAATCAGGGTTTTGCCTGGTGCTTATCGTTAAAACGTTGGTTTTAAGGCCAGACAGACAAAAGTGGACGGCCAACTCATCGATGGGGGTGACCAAGAAGGGAGTCTGCATCTTGATGGGTTTATCGGCTTTTTACAGGCAAGTGTTATTGATGTCGTTATTAGTTATGCAACAAAGCACGCATGCTATCGCATGCTCCATGTTGTACTTGTGATGACTTGTGAAGCTATTTGCACATCCGCCCAGTCGATGCCTGCGAGGACATAGGGCCCTTGTGTATCCTTGTTTGGCGTGTAAAGAAGTTCATTCATTTTTCAATGGTTTTCCTAACAATTGAAAGGAAGCAACGAAGGGGCTCAGAGCTGCATCCTCAGTGAAACAGACTTGTGGTGCTTTTCCAAAGTAGTTCTATTGTTGAAGCTGGACCACCGGCAGGGCAAACTCTTCTGGTGGTACTCCTTCCACGAGCTTCAGAGCGTTCTTTCCGCGGACCATATCAGTAGAACCTCCTGACCAGGCACGCAGAGAGAATCCGATACAGTTTGTACCGTTCCAGAAGTCCACCTCTTGACTCTAGTTGTCACTTGATGCTCAGTCCCATATCATTTACCCAGCTTTGGATATGATCACTCGCTCTATCAATGCAGGGAGGCTTTCCTAAGAGGACATGACTTTCTGATGCTCTTGAAGCAGAGCGCTAAAGAGAGGGTGGCATGGCCTCAAAAGTGGAAAAGGGCGAGTAGATAAACAACTCCTTCCAGATCTCTAAGATGGCCATGGACAAGAAGATGCTCTGGCTTTGTGATGCCCCACGACACTCAAGTAAGCTCATTGTATTATCACCCTTGGGACTGTTGGGTTGAATTTAGCAGTGCTTCTGAATCGAGCTGACCCACTATGATCCACGAGCAGTCAGTTCAGGAGGACGACGAATCCTCACCGTTTCAACCTGGAGACAAAGTACCATCGTCAGCCTGTTTTCTGGTTATGTGCACCATTGCTTGGATACAGCTTAGGGCCAGTATTTCGTTAAGTCTCTTCTTTGCCGGCCTCGAGGTTGCAGCTCTGGTGGCTGGCTGGGATGTCCAGAAGGAGCAAGTGTGTTGAAACAACATGGCATTCGATGGACCGTCATCCTGTGTAGTCAAGCTGCCAAGCCTGGATTGAAACGTTGAGATGCGGAGGAAATGGGTGTTGGCAAGGTGATAGAGGATGGGCATTTGTGGACGTTCTTCAATGAGAATTTGCATCACATGTTTCATTGGCAATTGTTATTACCAGTGAACTCTTAACAGCACAGTTTTGTAATTTCACTCACAGCACACGCCACACGACTGTCTACTTCCAACCTCTGACTCTTTGAGCTCTCCATTCTCCATCTTCAGTTCTTCCCTGTACTGTCTACCGTTGTTATTGTAGAGTAGAAAAGAGAGGAATAAGTGGACCCATAGTGGTAGAGTTGATGTCAGAGTTGAGGTGGGGTTCTCAGTCATATCATAATCATACTGTAAATTCTATAACCTGAACATACTCTTGAGCCCAATGTTTGTTTCTCCACTCCGCCGTTCGTACAATTTGCTCTACTTTCTTCCTCCAACTGTATACCCCTACTGCTTCTCTTCAGGGAAGAGCCATAGTGTTTGTAACTGCAGAGCTTGGCGCGCATAGGTTTTAGCTCTTGGATCAGAAACACTGAAAAGTACCGTGCACATAATCCACTATATCCTCCAAGTTAAGTCTAACCCCTAGCTGTTTTGGAGCAACATGATAATGATATTGTGTCCAATATTACATCCATAGACAGGATCCATGGAATTCCGTATACATATTTTTCAACAACACTATTTTTGCGCACACCCAAGCAGTCACCTAAAGAGTCACGCCGTGCGTTGCTTTTTGGACGCTGTGTCTTTCGTGGAGGTGGTTGTCCCAGGGTCCGAGCCTAGGTGGTTTACCCCCTCCGGTGGTCGTCCAGTCACAGTATATAGCCGAGGCCACAAGGTACCGTCACGGTTGAATTCCCCGATGGAACTCGAGAAGCCAAGGCAGGGCAGGACTCCCCAGACGTATTTGCCAAGCCAAGAGAGCCAAAGCAAGCAAGCCAAGAATTTGCGCATTATTGTGCATACAGTACAGTTGTCAAGTTCGTTGTTTTTGCCATTATTTTCGCTCACTGTGTTTTTCAGGGTTTTTGGTAAGTTAGCTTGACAAGACCAGGTGCAGCTGCTTCGACCAGTAGAGGACGCAACTCCTTTGTGTCGGCTTGTGCCTGGCACCAAACCATGCAAGACAAAAACTGTTGAAGACCTGCCCATTTGCATTGCAACCACTGGCATGAACAGCAGAGTGCTGTGAGGGTCACCAGTCGGTGACATCAAGACGCGACCAGGTCGGGTGAGTGCTACGGAGAGCTTTCTCTCCTGTACAACACGCCATCACCCCGGATGAACTACCACACAATGCGAACAATATGATTGAGTTTGCATTTCAGGCATCTATATACCGACAATTATCCATTGAGTTTGTTTATCTACTCTACTTACCTATTTAACTTGTATTTGTCTATAAATCTATTATTTTTCCCAATTGTTGGCGGTTCGTGTTTGCGTCGTCGCTGTTTTCCGTCGACCTTTACTTGTCCTGCGTTGTCCTCGTGGCTTTTGCGTGGCTGTTGCGTGGCTGTTGCGCGACCGCGCGAAAACGTGGTTCAATGCACCAAGCGGCTTTTGCCACGAAAGCGTGGTGTTTTGGTGGTGCCCGAAGCCGACTTTTCATTTTCGTGGCAAGTGGAAATTGGAGCCGCTTTACTTGGATATGCAAATTGCGTGACAGCGGCAGTATTTGTACTTGGTGGTGATCTTTGTCGTGCTCAGCACTTTGTGTCCCTCATAGTGCTCACAGAAATGTGCTCTAATGTGTGTCCTCTCACATGTGCTCTCAGGTGTGTGCTCTCGTATCTGTGCGTTCTCGCATATATGGTTCCCCGTCCCCGGGAGTAAAGAGTAACTCACCTTTTTATCTTATTCCGTAGTGTTTCACCTGCAACGGGTGCAACTCCAGACTAAGGAAGGCAGTTGGGTCATCGGCGTACTGCGATCCCTGTTGGTTGGTCGTTCGCATAGAGCGACTTGTTTTCACAAGGTGTCCTCCGCATACAGTTGGTGATTTGGTTGAGTACCTCAAGACCGTCACCACAACACTGGAGAGGACTTGCGAAAAATTCGAAGCCGACCGTACTGCTGGTTACGTGACTGAACACGGGGAGCTGATCCCTGGTGCCCGTGAAAGGTTTTAGCCAGTCGAGCAGGAGGAGACTCATTTGAAAGGGGCATTCATCGCGGAGAGAAGGACCAGCAAGCATCTTCGACGAGGAGGGCATCTTCGGACACCGTCCCGGTAAAGAAGGAGCGAGAGGCAGATTCGGGGAAAGAACCCCGAAGGAGAAGAAGCCAGGAAGGCGTGAGAGGTCCAGGAGACGCAGGAGGTCAAAGAGCAATACAAAGCGATCCAGGTTGCGGACGAGATGCAGAAGGTCCAGGAGTTCTTCATTGCGGAAGCCATCGGGGAATTCACACCCTGGAAGACCTTCGAGATCTCCCCTGGCGAGACGTCCTCGTCAGTGCAGGGAGGCGCGAAGGGGACGAGCTAGCAGGGCTGAGGCCGGATGGAGGAGATCGAAGCCCCAGGAGGAAAAGATCACGAAGCAGGAGAAAAGCAGAAGGAGGAAGGCAAAGAGGTGAAGGAAAAAGGGAAGAAAAAGAAAACAGGGAAAAGAAAGAAGCGAGCCAGGAGCCCATCGAGTACATCCACGTCGTCAACTTCGAGCTCCGAGGTGAAGTACAAGGCGGTGGATCAAAAGGTGATGTTCGTCGCCGGCGAAAGGCTCAGAGATTCGCCCAAAGTTCTCAGAGCAAGAGGCTGGAGAGCAAGAGCAGCTCAAGCGGCGAAGTTACAGCCCACAAGGGGCAGGCTATATTCGGGGAACCTCACCGGGTCAGGGCTGTGGCCCAAAGCTTCCCTGGAGTGCTATCGGCCCAGGCCATCGAAAGCATGCAGGATTTGATGCTTTCAGAAGCGGGTCAAGACTCAGTCCAGCAAGAGGGCTGGGTGCCTACGCTCCTGAAATATTATCGACAGATGCTCAGTCGCAAGGTCTCAGGACCAATGAGCAGAGAACTGCACACGTTGTGCACAGTGGGCGACTTGGTGATTCGAGGTCAACTTCGAGAAGCGTGGACACGCTCATCCAAAGAGTGAAGTCGTTGGAAGCACAGTTCAGTGGCCCCGCGTGGACATCTGCCCAACGACTAGAACTCCTTCCGAGCGATACAGCCACGTTGTCGTCAAGGCAAGAGCTCCGGATTGCCACCACGGAGCAGCGTGCCGACACGCAAGCGCACCAGGCCGGAGCGTGGTGGTCGAAGGGCGCAGGGAAGGAGTCAAGCAAAGGAGATCATCAGGAGAAAGGAAAAGGACAAGGAAAGAAGGGAAAAGAAAGGGCAGCTAAGGTACAATCAATGTGACTGAGGAGACCTTCAACCTGAGGTTATCGGGGGGTTTAACCCTGTGGCACCTGGGAAGATGGTGAAGAACAACAGTATGAGTGTGACGGGGCTGGAATGGCCTGGGATACAGGGAGAAATGCGGGGCGCAAGCCCTGTGGATGTGGACACAACAACTATGACAGCTGGCGGCGCACCTTTCAATCTGCAGACACCGGTTGGTGCAGGGCCAGTTCGGCCACACGGGGGCGCAACGAAGTCGGGGGTTTTGGCCCTGAGAGGACCCGAGGCGGATGCATCATTCCCGCCGCAGGCTCCTATGAGTTTTCCCAAACAAATATCAAGTGGCGTGGCGCGAGACAAGCCAGTGCCAGTGCCATGGGCGTCCCTGGTACAGACAGGGTCCATCCCCTCGGACCGTGAGGGTTCGGAAAAAGGAGTGAGTGGATTACAGCTGTGGGAGATGGGAGGTATCTTGGGACGGAGTTTGCGGGGGGGTTCTTCGCTCTGCAGCCAGCCCACGGAGGGGGAACGTAACCTAGCACTACGAACAAAGCAATCGAATACCTTTCCCCTTCCAACCCTTCGCGAACAGGTACTGCCCATTCCACCCAAGGGATTTGCTTGGACAGTGGATTGGTTGATTTCTATTTGCATGGCTTTGAACTCTTTTTGTGGGCGCCAGAAACTTTCGTGTCAGGAATGTCATCGAGCAGATGGATTGCCGGAAGATGCCGAATCCTCTAGGCTAAAGGATGTCAAGGAGGTGACGGGGTCTGTTGACTGGGGTACTCGGACCATAGACTACAAGGGGGACGAAGTGAGGCAGTCTAAAACAGCTGACAGTTCAACCCTCAACTGGAGTTCGACACGAGAAAGCTTTGAACAAATTCCTCGTTTTCCTCAAGGCTGAAGGCCTGGAGTTGCCCAGTCGTCGTGAGCACCTAGATCCTCTGGTAATGGAATATATAGAACATTTATGGCTCTCGGGGGGAGGGGCGTGGTCTGGCCGCCGACACCCTGGCTTCTTTGCAGGACTATGACGCCAAGATTCGGGGACATCTCCCTGGTGCTTGGAGACTTGTTAAGACGTGGGTCACTCACGAACTACCAAATCGGGCGCCGCCAGTCCCTGAGCTGGTCCTGCAAAGTATGGTAGGTTGGAGCCTGTACCATGGACACTTTGCTTTCGCCACCAGTTTGCTAGTGTGCTTTTATGGGGTTTTACGAACAGGCGAACTGCTTGACGTGGTCCGAAACCGTGTTGAGATTTCTGCAAGACTCCGTACAGCTGTCATTGCCCTTGGGCTAATTAAGGCTGGGAAACGTGCAGGGGTTCAAGAAAGTGTCTCTGTAGGACATGACACGGCATTTCGTTATGTACAGCGTTGGACAGAGCTTGCCTCGACACACCAGAAACTGTGTCCGTCGCCGCCCCGTTGGCGCAAATTGTTTAAGTCATGCACCGAGAGCCTCAAGTTGGAACCTTTAGAACTTAGACCGTACTCGTTACGGGGAGGCGGGGCCACATGGTGGTTCTGCCAACATGACCTAGATAGAGTCATGATTTTGGGGCGTTGGCAAGCCCAGAAAACTGCTCGGATGTACCTGAATGAATCACGAGCCATTTTGGCCGAAATGAAATTGGGACCATTTATAGCACCTTTCCGAATCTTTTTTCAGAATTCGAGCCCCAGAACTTTTTGAGCCGTTGCAAAGCAACAGGCCGTCCTCGGTCAACCGAGGCCTGGGGGGACTTGGGAGGAAGAGGAAGATTTCCCAGATTTCCAAGAAACCAGTAGGGAGAAAAAAGAAAAGCTGGTGTCCCTCAGGACCTGGCCAGGGTTTGGGGAGTGGCCCACCTGGTCAGGGGGGATGATTGTCCGGGAGCGCCCCCTTCTGTGTGTTGTGGACCAGGAAGGGGGGCAATCATTTCGACTTTCGGGAGTTCTTTTTTCGTTCCCAACTGTTTGTTATTGTGAGGTGATGCTTACTCTTTCTATATATATATATTATATACAATATATATATATGATATATAATATATATATAGTTATAGCATATATGATACTGTATATATTATATAATAGATAATTTGTATTGTAAAAATATATATATATATATATTTGTGTGAAACCCTTGGAATCACAGGGAACCTTTTGTTTTTCTACGAGCAGGGGCAATGAAGCTGTTCCACGATGGGGGAAGCGGAGATTGATCGCCTCCGTGTACCTGCTGATGATTGTGGCGTTGAGTAATCACATCCCACTCTAGAGCTCACGCTGGTGAGGTTTCAGAGGTCGGCAGATGCGCATTAAAGAGCTAATGCGCTCGTCGGTCAGAGCTTGCTTGTCAAACTGGACTTTCAAGATCTTTGTAAATTTTGGAGTTTGGGTAAAACTGAACCTTGATGGACCTCCTTACTTGCACCTGTCCTGGTTTTCTTAGATCTTTTCACTTAGGCTGGCGTGTGGCAAACCGCAATATCTTGAGCGTGTGCGCTCTCGCTTCTCATACGTTGTGCTGCCATGCACTCATGTGTGTGATGGCATTTGTGTGCCCTAAAGTGTGTCCGCCCTCTTGTGTGCGCCCTCATATTGTATAAGTGTGCTTCAATACAGTCTCGTTTCCGTACTTTGCTCTACCCAGCTTGTTGTCCGGCGTGAGTTTTGGGCGCCTACTTGCTGGCTTATGCCACTTGTTCCCCACATTGATGTGTGTTTCTCTCCTCCTCCCGCCGGCCACCACCACCAACCACCAACCAACGTCCACCAACCACCAACCACCCAACCACCAACCTACCACCAACTACCACCAACTACCAACCACCAACCATCAACTACCAACTACCAACTACCAACCACCAACCACCTCTCGCCGCCCACCAACCACCAACCACCAACCGTCAACCAACAACCAATAACCACCAACCAATAACCACCAACCAACAACCACCAACCACCAACCGCCAACCACCAACCACCAACCTACCACCAACCACCAAACACCACCAACTACCAACCACCAACCACCAACCACGAACCACCAACCCTCCAACCACCAACCAACCACCACTTTGCGTGGCAGGCGGGGTACTTGGTGCTCTCTGCCGGTGCGATTTGCCTGGCGCCCTGGCGTCTTGTGGGCTCCGCCGCTCTGCCGCTGTGATTTGCGTGGCAGGCGTAGCGCTTGGCGCTCTCCAAGGGGTTGGATGTACGCCCTGGCGTCCTCTGTGCTCCCCCGCTCTGCCGGTGTGATTTGCGTGGCAGGCGCAGCGCTTGGTGCTCTCAAGGGGTTGGATGTACGCCCTGGCGTCCTGTGGGCTCCGCCGCTCTGCCGGTATGATTTGCGTGGCAGGCCAGCGCTTGGTGCTTTCCAGGGGGTTGGATGTACGCCCTGGCGTCCCTTGGGCTCCGCCGCTCTGCGGTGTGATTTGCGTGGCAGGCGCAGCACTTGGTGCTCTCCAAGGGGTTGGATGTACGCCCTGGCTCCGCCGCTCTGCTGGTGTGAATTTGCGTGGCAGGCGCAGCACTTGGTGCCTGCAACCACCACCAACCACCAACCACCAACCACCAACCACCCAACCACCCAACCACCCAACCACCCAACCACCCACCCACCCACCCAACCAACCAACCAACCAAGTAGCATGTGGGGTTGTCTGGTCCTAAATGTTCTGCTCTGTTTGTTGTTTGCTATCCTTTGTTGGTGTTTACTATACTTTGTTGTCCCGTGAAAAGGGATGTAGCGGGGGAAGCACACAGTGCTCCACGGTGCTCGGGCAGTGCCCGGACAGCGCTCAGAACAGCGCTCGGAAGTCAAAAATACTAGCGATTCGGGCAGTAGCAGCGCAAAAGGCTAGAAATTTAGAGTTCGAGGCTCTTTTTTGACTCATTTACCATTCCTGTGGCCATACCCACAGTATTTACAGGGTTTTGGTGCGCGGGTACTGTCTGGAGCACTGTCCGGGCACTGTGGAGCACCGTGTTGCCATGTAGACCCCGGTCGCATAGCTTAAGCCATGGTCGCTCCAGGTCATGCCGGCACTCTACTCTGTTTGCTGTCCCCCGCCCCTTGTTTCCTTCCTTGCTTCTTGATACTGATGTTGCAATCCTTCTTCTATATTTGTTCGTTGTCGCTGTCTGCGTGGTGCAACATTGTGTTGGCCCGCCGCTGTCTGCTTTGGTGCAGCCCTGTGTCGGGTACTGTTGATGGACGAAATCCTGCACCACATCACCACTTTACCCTCTGGAAGGGTCGCGTAGCCCCCTCATTCGACGCCTCTGAAGAGGTGGTGCCTGATTTTGAACTTTCAACTTGTTTTAACTTTCTCACTGTGGTGGCCCCAATGTTAACGAGGGAAAGCGAGGGCAGCAAGAAAATTGTGGGCAAAGTGGTGCAGGGTTTTGTCCATCAACCGTATTTCTTCCCGGGGTAAGTTTATGTATATAGTAATGTAATTTCTATTTCTTGTTTTTTGTCAAGCAGCCATCCTGTATGTCTATTGGTTTACAAACCTGCCAGCCTATTTTTTCTAGTTAGGCGTGTTTTCATTTATATACAGTTTTCTTTATCAAATGCACGGGATGCAAACATTAAGGCAATGCCATTTCACCTATAAATGCAGCTGCGTACAAGAGAGGGCACGTAAGCAGGAACCTGCCGCATTCCTTCCTTACCTACAGAGCTGCCATCACAGATCGACGGCCCATGATCCAACAAACTGAAAATATCAAAGAATACAACATCAATCCACATTAATCAGCCTGCACCAACCGAGGTTACCGTTGTGTTTTGGGACAAGTTGAGCTTTTGCTTGGGCATTGGGTGTCTCAGGCTGGTAGGTTCTTCATAAAGTACAGGCCATGGAGTCAAAACATTAAAGGCAAAACACTGCTGCAATGTTTGAATTCCTGTCTCTTTCCTCCTGCGAGCCATTGAAAGGCGCGAGGAAAGACACCATGTTTGTTTCTGAATAGTTTAGGGCGAGATGAATTTGATTGGATTTGCATGGTGCCAACGAGCTTATCACTCTTCAGAGGGGGCGGGTTGCAGTCTCCAAATGGACTGTTCTTTAATGCTACTTTGGACAATCTTGCAAAAGGCACAAACAACACGGGAAACACAAGTAGATGACACAACAAACTCAAACGACAATACCCAGACGGTATGACGTCTCAAACACTTACTTTCTTGTGTCTACATATTAATTTTGCGTTTGTAGGCTTGATATGTATATTCAATGTGCATACACACGTATAATGTATGATGATGTATGCTCGTGAACATACACTAAAGGGCACTCAAGATCCAGGACACAAGACGCAAGCAACAAACGAAAACTTGAAACTCATTGCCCAGAAGACGGAGTCTTGTGTTTCTATGCATTTGGGTTGGCATCCAAAGTTCCAAGGCGTCACTTGGCTACCTGCAAAGCTGTTGAACCATCAGTGGTTTGGATCCTAGATTGGAGTCAGTAGATGATTGCGAAGGACTTTGAGCCTTGGGCCTTCAGATTTTTCAGTCGTTGCCACTCACGACTTGTTTTTGTTTTCATACGATAAAGGGGCCTTTCAGTGTACATGGTGATTTCGCACGCCAATCCAGGTTTACGTTGTGCCGTACAGGGCATTCAAACAGTTCCGGCCTCGACCTAGTCACAGTCTGCATGAGCGGTCTCCCGACTTTGCGCGGTCTCCCGAAGCAGAGGCTGGTTGTTTTGAGGTGCTTTGGCAATCGGGAACGGGCTCAGGAGACTTCTAAGCTCCCTATTTTCAAGCAAAGCTGCTCAATCTGCAAGACAAGAATAACACGCTAAAAACATCTAAAAACAAACATGGACCCTGAAAACCACTGGTTTGTAGAGGAAAACGGTCTTTCAGGGTCCATGTTAGGTTTTGGGAGTGTATCATGATTGACTGAACTTTGGAGGGTAATTTCAATCTCTTTTGCATTGCCCAGACACGACAGCCAAGTTTGCAAGGAGAAAGCATGGATCAAGCTTTTGGACGAGGTGAGATTGTCGAACGAACCCAAACAATTCTTGATATCCTGTATGGGGTTGGAGACGCAAGGAAAAAGTTGTGTGTTGAGATATGTTGAGAAACAGGAAGGAACTCCATACACATTAGGAGCAAGGACGCTACTAGGGGCTCCTGGCCTTACTACTAGGAGCATTTTTGCTACTAGTAACAAAGGGCATCGCTACATATGTTGGAACTCCAGGTGCACTCGCTGTGTTTGCGTCCTTCCAGGTGCACTTCTTGAACGCGCTGGTAAGATCTGAACGAGCCGAGGCCCGTCCCAGATGCTCTCTGGTGACAATGGAACACTATTGCAGCTTTGCTTGGTTTTGTTTAATTTTTGAAAAGCAATATGAAGACACATGAGAATTTGGAGTCAAGCCGTTACCTGTCATCGCCAAGCATAAAATTCTAGCATAGATGGATGTACTATTATTTACATTGCACATGGCGGACTCGGTCTTGGCGTGGTTAATTCAGAAGAATTGGTGCTGCTTTTTTGGATTGTGAACACATGCTTTCATCATACGAGACAACTTCACAGCTCGAGGTTGCTCGTAATGCTGTTGGCCAGATGAGTGCCTGCCCAAGAGGGCCTCATGCCAATGGAACAGCATCCTTTGCACCTGGCAGTGAATATCTTCTAAAGCACAGCTGGCATTCCGCTGGCACCTATAGGTGTTTTGATGCTTTTTGGGATCCATTTATTTTTTTGCAGCCTGTTTCTTATTCAAATTCTGAAGGCTTCAAGCCAGGTGAAAAGGTTGCAGCCTCGGCATCAAATTGCTCAAGTGATTGAAAGAGAGGAATAGTGAACCTCAACGTTTGACTGAGCCAACCAATGTCAAAGCACTTGGAACATGTTGAGAACAGCAAGAGAGGACATTGTTCCTTGTAAAGAGTTTTCGATATGAATGTGTATGGTTGGAGGATGCTCATGCATAGAACAACAGAGCACGTCACATAAGGTCATGACGCAGGGTGAGATGACCGAGCAGCTGTGGTTCGTAGTGGAGAAGGGCAGTGTGGAGCCACAGAAAAGATCTTGTCACCCAACTGGGCATGGCAAAATAAATTTTCAATTTTGGTGGGAGCCTGACACTGTACATTCTGAGCATAGTGTGGCCATGCTTGTCTCGAGAGAAGCTACTAGGTGGAGGCCATCGCAATTAGGTTGGAGGCCATCGCTACTAGTAACAAAAAAGCTTTCTGGTAAATAACTAGAAGCTACTAGGTGGAGGCCATCGCTATTAGGTTGGAGGCCATCGCTACTAGTAGTAAAAGAACACTTTCTAGTAACTAGAAGCTACGAGTTGGAGGCCATCACTATTAGGTTGGAGGCCATCGCTACAAGTAACAAAAAAGCTTTCTAGTAACTAGAAGCTACTAGGTGGAGACCATCGCTATTATGTTGGAGGCCATTGCTACCAGCAACAAAACAGCTTTCTAGTAACTAGAAGCTACTAGGTGGAGGCCATCGCAAACAGGTTGGAGGCCAACGCTACTATATAGTAACAAACAAGTTTTCTAGTAACTAGAAGCTATTGGGTGTGGGCCATCGCTATTAGGTTGGAGCCCATCGCTACTAGTAACCAAAAAGCTTTCTAGTAACTAGAAGCTACTAGGTTGGCGGTTGGAGGCCATCGCTATTAGGTTGGCCGCCATCGCTACTAGGAACAAAAATGCTTTCTAGTAACTAGAAGCTACTAGGTTGGAGGCCATCGCTATTAGGTTGGCCGCATCGCTACTAGTAACCAAAAAGCTTTCTAGTAACATCTAGTAACTAGAAGCTACGAGGTTGGAGGCCATTTCCTTTTGGTGACAGCGCCTTCGAAACCCGCACCTGAGCGATGCAGATGTATCAACTGAGGCTGCCATGTCACGCGCAAGGACTCAGCAGGTCAGTGTTCGATTTCACCACCTCCATCATTGGGAGGATTTCCAGTTTCGGTTTGGAAATCCCTTTTTCATCTCAAACCAGACAAGTTTCCTCATCAAGAAACTTTATTTGTAATTTTCATTAAATTTCTGTAGAATTGCCAAGTGAATGAAACCGCCAGGCCATATTGAGTTGTCCGCAGAGCTGCGCCGAGGCGCAGTGTTGGGACGTCAATTCCCACGCCCAGATGAGATTGTTGGCTATGGCCCCTCCCGCGAAATCCAAAACCATCCGACAGCATTTGGCAAAAGATGCTTCCACCTGTGGTGTGGGTTCCTGGTCTTTCCCATGTGATCTATTAATCTACTGTAAAGGAGAGCATATGAACATGTCACATGTGTTTATCTTCTTCCTCAAGCAAGGGTTCCATGTACAGTACCAAAACTGTGCGGAACAGATAGATCGCGAGAAGAGTGAAAGGGATGCTACACTCGGGCATGCCATACTTGGGCCTTCGATTGTGCGTTCTAGCCGAAGCTTGTTGTAGTTTGTCAACTCGGCAGGCAACCATTTTGGGGAGCGGTCCATTTTCCTGCAGCAGTCCAGTTCTCAACGGAAGCTAGTTGCTTTATCATTCAAGTACGCTCAGACAAGAATGACAATTGCATTTACCACACATCCTTTGCAGTTCAGAGGTCATTCGCATTTTTGTGAATCTACATCTTCCTCCTATGTGACATTTGCTTCACTGAGGCGAACAGCTGAGGTCACTGTTGAGGCTAGTACCTTCAGAGCAATTGACACGTCATCACAAGTTATATAAGTTGCCATAAAAATATCTAGGAACCAAATAACTAGTGCGTGAGCTATCCTGCGTCTTACCTAGGAGCGTCCTGTACCTACTAGCTACCTCTCGAGGGGGGAGCGGACTAAAAAACAAGTGACAAAGTTAAATAATCTTTGCGTTTTGGACATGACACCTGGAACACAACGACCTAGACATGTTTGCGAAGTCAATACTGGCAAGTGGCGCCACAGAGCTCCGGCGCTGTCAGGCTGGTGCAAAGGGCATGTCCATATCTCAGCATGTTGCCTCTGTGTTTGGCATGTTGCCTTCTTTCGTATGAAGGCCTATTGATCCGACAAAGCCATTCGCCGATTTACTCATTGGCCACTCCGCCTCTGCAAGCTGTGCCATATGATGTCAAATGCAAGTGATGTCAAAGCAATATTGATCTCTCTCTCTCTCTCTCACACGTTTTCCATTTGTAGCATCGTACTACCACTGGAGATCAAGCTTGAAGCAAACCGGAAACTAGAACTGTTAATTGGGGAGTCACGAGGTGCTCTTGGAACCTTTGTCGAATCAAACAATCTGAATGCTAAAGACCTGATTACTTAAACAAGCAAATTGCAGGGTGTAATGCCCATCGTTGCCCGACCCATGAGTGCGGGTCCGACGCGTCCTGGGCATCGTGACATCACTGGCTCCGAGCGCGCCATCTCTGTTTTGGCTGGGTATGTGGCAGGGTCTATTGTCGCCACCTGACTCCAGCAGAGGGAATCCGGTCGCTAAACTTTGGGATTGTGGCGATCTAAAAGCTCTTGAAGCTCTTCTCAAAGAGTGACTCAGGTTGTGCCCTTCGACCGCGTGAAGACTCTTATGCAGGCAATTTGGCTGGAAAGATCTTTGTTCAAGCATGCAGATACACTCAGCTGCAAGAATTGTGAATATAGTAGGATAGTACTAGTGGTTACACTTGGCTATTTGCATCCCGTGCATTCAGTTGCTGCCAAGTAGAGGTGGCGCATGGCTGGTAGGCAAGTCCCGGTTGGGTCTGTTTTTGCACAATATTGGGGCAACTTGTTTAGAGGAGTAACATAGAGTAACCTTGTCTAGAGACAGTACACCAGGGCTTTGGAGCAGAAAGGCCCAAGCCTAGCCCAAGCCTAGCTGCATCTCATGGCCCAGGCTGCAGCTGGCAAACATCCGGCAGCTTCAGAGGTGGCACGCAATGTCTTTCGTCGAGAGGGCTTACGCGGCTTGTATCGTGGCTTGGTGGGAAGCCTTGGGAAACTATGCGTGCTTTAGTTTGTTCAGCAACAGCTTTCTCCTTTTGACTTGCCAACAAAAGAAAGATGCAGAGAGAGGTCAAGCGGCAATGATAAGCTATAAGCTACTCTTGCTCCTCTAAACCTATGAGGGGAATGCCAACATGCTGTCGTGCTCAATCGATCGACATGATTTGGTGATTTGGTGACATCAATCCAAAGCTTCTGAGCTTATGTATTAAATAGGTTAGTTAATGTTGATCAAGAAGCAAAGGACATGAACCATCTCAACCTCAGGATGCTAGTAAATGCCCGGAAAAACGACAGTCTTGCCAGCCAACCCAAAACACTCACTACTCTTCCAGTGCTTTTTGCTTGACCTGCAAATGCAGTTACCCCTTTGGTTCGTCCATTTCCTCCCTGCAGTTTCTTTGTTGAGGTGGTATGGACACGCAGTTGCTGATAGCTCCGTGCCTTGCAAGACATACTCTTGAGTGGAAGGCGCTGAGCCAAGGCTGAACGGAGTTCAGCTTCTTGTGCTGAATTCGATACTCTACGGATTCACATGCATATGCTTCATATACATATAGATTGCGCGGTTAATTTTGACCAAGACTGACGCAGCGATATGAATTCACTACTCCGCAGTTTTGGACGCAAGCTGCATTCTATACCAAGGTACACTGTCGTCTACTACAGTGGCTTGGCAAAGCCTTGGGAGACTTTCCCTCTAAGCGTAGGAAACCGCTTCGTACAGCTCCGACTCTTGGGTCTAGTGCGTCGTTGCCACCAGCTATCTGCGTTTGAAAGCTTTTGTGACCAAGCCACCCAGCAGCCTCCCCAAACAAAGGGGTAACAAGCACAGAAAAGAAATGACAAACACTTGGTTACAAGACGAGCAAAGAAAAGGCAACAGTGACAACAGGCATTTTTTTCCCTGACAATTTAAGTGTGCGGTCTTGTCAAATTGTGAGGCCTTTATGATGAGCTGCGGAAGCTCCAAAGTGATCATCCTTTGGCTCCTCTTAGTGCTGCGGTGGTAGCACGCACTGTCGAGGCCAATAGAAACGCAGAAGCCATTTGCTGAGTATTTTCATTCACTTGGGCTTGGCAGAGATGTACTGTGAGGTGACTTTGCGAATGCCCCTAGAGTTGCTTCGCACCCAGCTGCAGTCAGAGGAAGGCAGGGAAAAAGCAACTGCAAAGGGTTGATATTTGATAGTATGCAAGTGAACGGGACCTACTTTCTTGAATGCAGTTGGAGCAGAGCAGAGGTTGTCCACAAGCTCCTGACGGGTTGCTTTGCAAGGGTCAGTCATATAAATGCCTACAGGAGCCCACCCAAGCGAGTCAAGTAGAGTTATCAGAGTTAGCATGGGAACGTCGCAACTCTTCTATTCCTGCAGTGCATGTACAGCGGCTACCAAGATCTCAGCTGTTTGTCAAGGGTTAAAAGTAAAACCATTTCCTCACCTTCATACCTATACCACATGCGCATAGGGGTATATAACAACTACAATTTACACAATTGTACAGTCACACTTCTAAAGTTCTTGTGACAAAAACTGGTAGCCAAGTGGTTGAATGTGGTGACCGCTTTCACACCATGTATATATTTCCCCAAACAGTTTACTGTTAGGGGTTCTCAATTCTTTCTCAAGATGTGTCCGCCCTTTGTGTCACTGCTGGTGTCCGCCCATTTCCACTGGCCATGTAGCATTTATATTCATTTGTCTCCGCCCTTTTCCGCTGGCCATGCAGCATGTCTATTCATGTGTCTCCCAGGTCTGTCACTGGTGGTGTCCGCCCTTTTCCGCTGGCCATGCAGCATTTCTATTCATTTGTCTCGCAGGTCTGTCACTGCTGGTGTCCGCCCTTTT